ATTTGCAGCTGACTTTGAAATTAAAAGTAAACAAAAATCATATAAAAAGTTGGATAATTCTGAGTCTGATGATACAATAGACGCTGAATCAAATGATGATGTATTTTATGAAAGTAATGTTCTAATTGGGAAACCCAACAAGTTTATGCATAAGCGTAAGATTCGAAAGATTATTCGATACGTAAGATTTAGTATCGATAAAAGTCCTGCTGACTTTTATAGGGAAAGAATTATGTTGTTTTTTCCTTGGAGAAATGAATACAATGATATAGAAAATATAAATTGTCAAGAAGTATATGAAAAAAATATTGAACAAATTCAACAAATGTATTATCAGTTCAATAAAATTGAAGAAGAAGATTTAGATGAAGATATAAATAACGTTGAAAAGCAACAAGATATTAATGAGACTGAATTACCGGATGATTGGGTCCCACATGATAAGATAATGTTGGATATAGGAGATTTTAAAGACCATGACGATGCTGATAATTCAGATAAAAATAATGAAGTCAATGGAATGTTTAACGTACATAAAATTAATAACGAACAATTTATAAACCTAAAGAAATGTATGAATGAAGGTCAACGTATGATTCTCTATCATGTTACTAATGTACAGCAAATATGGGGATCAGGTGCACCTAGTATTTTATGTTATGTAACTGGCCCAGCTGGGGCTGGTAAATCTGTACTTATACGGACTTTAGCTCAATCAACAATTAGAATAGCTAATGTCAGGCCAGATATAGATGATTTGTCACTTACTCCTGTGTTACTCACAGCACCTACAGGCAAAACAGCATACGGTATAAGAGGTTTTANCAGGCAAAGCAGCATACGGTATAAGAGGTTTAACACTTCATGCTGCATTCAAATTACCAATTAATCAATTTTCTGGGATATTACCAAAACTTGGTGCTGACATATCAAATACTTTACGGTGTCAACTGGCTAATGTCAAACTACTCATAATTGATGAAATTTCTATGGTTGGCTTAAAGACTCTTGGTTACATTGATCAACGACTCAGGCATATTCTACGTATTGACAAACCATTTGGTGATATAAATGTGATTGTTTTTGGTGACTTTTATCAATTACCACCAGTTTTATCCACACCACTGTACGAATATTTTGATCAAATAGTTGCCAAATATCCAACTTCGATAGAATTACTAGCGACGAAAGCGATATGGGAAACTTTTCAGTTTTATGAGTTAACTGAAATTATGAGGCAGAAAGATGATAAAGAATTTTCTGTAGTATTAACTAAATTAGCAAGAGGAGAACTGACTCAAAAAGATATCGATTTTTTTATGAATCTTACAAAACCGTTAGATATTAGTTTTCAACCGGGAATTATGCATCTATGGGCCACAAATAAAGAGGTAGATGATATGAATAGAAGAGTATTAAGTAGCCTAAATACTACTAGTTTTGTGTCTGAAGCAATAGATACAACAGGTAGAAAAGTTGACATCACTGCAGCAAAGAATCTTCCAAGACAAAAAACAATGGGATTACCTAAAACACTAATACTAAAATTAACAGCAAAATACATGGTTGTTACAAATATCTGTACAGAAGATGGTATTGTCAATGGCGCAATTGGAGAATTGATGCAAATTAACCGAACAGTAACTGCTAATGGTAAAGAAGTTGCACATAGAGTGTGGATAAAATTTGACGAACCAGAAATTGGTTCAATCACCAGACAAAAAGTTAAAGGAAAGTTATCTCCTCAAGGAGATGTATCTGACGACTGGTCTCACTGGACGCCTATTGAAATTACACACTTAGAATTTCAAATTGGTAACTCAGAGAACCGGAAAATTACTCGAACACAATTACCTTTGGTTGAGGCATTGGCCTTGACTGTTCATAAATCGCAAGGGGCAACTTATGAAAATGTTGCATATCATGTGCCTAAAAAGAATTTACTGTGCAACATGCTTTATGTTGGATGCAGTAGAGCAACATCGGCTAAGGGCTTGAGTATAGACTATTTTCCATCTAATCCGCCAAAACCGACTGTTAAAGTTAATGCTGAAATGACTAGACTGCGATCTTGTGCAATTAAACCTAAATTTGAATTTTTGACATTAAATAGTCACCCGATATATTGTGTTTCCCACAATATAAGATCATTAAACAAATATGTTGAACACATTCTTGCTGATAAAATATTATTAAAATCAAATTTACTATTTTTCCAAAAAACTGGAACTACAGATTCTGATTTTTATAATATTGAAGGATTCACAGAGGTATGTAGGATCAATAAAGTTCATGACAATGGCAAAAGTGGTTCAATATGCTTCATAAATAATAATATACGTCATAGTCTCAAGTCAAGTGAACACTCAGTTATTACTCATAACAAAGAACACATGGAAATTATTTGTGTTATCCTTGATAATTACACATATGTCGGATTATATGTTTCGCCTAAATTTCCTACAAACAAAATGTGTGAATCAGTGCCGTATTCAGGGCAGGGCAAGAGGGCATGGGCCAGGGGCGCAACTTGAAGAGGGGCGCAAATTTCAATATTGCACAATATGTAAAAATTTGTTCACGTAATATTATAAAAGTATACACTTATTCAACAGCTTATTACAAATGGAAAATACTTAATATTATATAAAAATTATTCATGTTAACATCATTTGTTTTCTAAATGTATATTATTAAAATTTGATAAGAGAGTGTTTTGTCGTAAAATAGGTAGTTATGTTCTATGTATGTATTTATAGTATAACTATAGATATAGGTACGAAATGTACCGGCCACGTGCCTGCACATTTCCGGCAAAAATCAACCCGCTTGATTATTATTTTTTCGTTTCGATTATATGTTGTTATTTTTTTTTTCGTTATAGTTATCAGTTTATTTGAGGTGTCGTTTATTGGTGATCGCGTAGTTTGGTAAACATAAGCGTTTATTTTTTACAAGTTGTATTTTATTACAGTTGTGATTGTCGTTTCTGCTGCACATTTTTAGAAATATTAAACATTTATAATTTTAATTAATTAAATCCAATTCTATATTTAACATACTGGTAAGCATAAAACATTTACATTATAATTAATATTATAAGTACCATAAAATGGGGTTAATCGGAATCGCGGGGTCAACCGGAACAGTTTAAGAAATATCTGTTTAAAATACACGCAACTTCTTCAATCTTTGATAAAATGATATGGTCGCACTTTTAATAGCTTCTAAATGACATTCAAGTTCACATGCAGTTCTCTCATGCGACAAAAGTTCAATATGCATAAATTATTAACGCGTCTTTTTCAACAAATTTTTTTAAAGAAAAATCATATACGAAAAACTTTATCAGCTACGAATAAAACGATTTGAGTAAGACCTATAGTAACACTTTTATTGAATAAATATACATGCTATAAAAAGAATAATAAAAAAAAACCCCAGCACAGGGGGATCGCGGCACAGTGGTGACGTGGCATAGTTGTATCAAGTATAATGATATCTAACAGTAATTAAAAACACTATCATAGGNATCTGACAGTGATTAAAATCACTATCATAAGAAACGCTTCGATGCAAATCAGTAGATAGTGTTTAATTCTAAGAAATTGGTGGATAATTACAAAAGCTGCATGATCTGCTAGTTCCTTATTAATACCCTGATTAAGATAAAGTATGTCGAATAAAAAAAGGGATTATTAAAAAATATTATTCCTCATAAAAAAATTGTGTGGATCCATAAACTTTTCAATAAGTTATAGCATTATAAAATTAAATATAATATAAATAATAAAATGGAGAATTTTCACACGAAAAAAACATTCAGTAGCCATTTTTGCCGTGAAGACAAGTCCAGAGGTCAAATTTTTTTTTTCAAATTAAAGTATATTACATTAGCTTTAATTTAAGATATATATAAAAGTGTCAGACCTTCCGGAACATTTTCAAAAGTTAAGTTGAAAAAGTTAATTTTTTGTGAAAAAGTTGTCATTTTAAATCCCCCCCTGTGGGCAGGTAAAGGGTCAGATTTATAAAAAAAATATACCAAATGATAGGTAATGACATCATGCATCTGTAAAAAAAAGAATTATATTGATATGTTCATTTTTGAAAAAGTTACGGCAGTTTTTAGTAAAAAAAATTGAAAAAATTTCGAAAATTAGCGATTTTTAAATTTGTAATTTTTTTGGAGGTTTCCCCCATTTACGGGGAACGAGGGAAATTTTTTCAATTTTGAAGGGTAATGTCTTCGACTAGATACGATTTGTGATCTTTTGACGTATC